CCAGACCTGGATTCCACGCCGCAGTGTTGATCTTAGTTGGTTAGCTTCCTGAACCTTCTGCTATTGACTGAGTCCTGGTTTTTCCTAGGTCGAGACCAGATTCTAATATCTCTTTATCTGTGCCTCACAGGAATCCTGTCTCCTCGTGAAGCTCTGGATGAGCTTAACCTCCTGTCTCCTTGTGAAGCTCTGGATGAGCTTAACCTCCTGTCTCCTTGTGAAGCTCTGGATGAGCTTAACCTCCTGTCTCCTTGTGAAGCTCTGGATGAGCTTAACCTCCTGTCTCCTTGTGAAGCTCTGGATGAGCTTAACCTCCTGTCTCCTTGTGAAGCTCTGGATGAGCTTAACCTCCTGTCTCCTTGTGAAGCTCTGGATGAGCTTAACCTCCTGTCTCCTCGTGAAGCTCAGGAAGAGCACCCTCACTGGAACCCTGTCTCTGGTCTGCAGCTCTGGAGGAGCTGCATCTCAGGAAACCAGTCTCAAGCCTGAAGCTCTTGAAAAGCCTAACCAGCTAATCTGCCCTGGTGAGCCAACCCGAAGATTTCTATGTGGATGAAACCTGACGACTTCTCTGTGGAGTTTCCCTAGAGGTTCCCATGTGGATTTCCCCTGTTGTTCCCTACGGTGAGCTGGAAGCTCAGCCTGAAAGATCCCTCGTGTTTTCCCCTGTTGTTTTCTGTAGTAAGCTGGAAGCTAAAACCCAGGACTGCCAGGCTAAGCCAAAGCTAGATGCTTAGCCTAACCTGAACTCAGCTACCAGCCATCTCCCTTTCCCTGCACAGACCCCAGTGAACCAGCCCCCTGTCAGAACTGTTCCGGTTTCATACTCATGTGTTTTGTGTTACAATAAACTCTTTTGGACTTTTTACCCTGTGTCTCCGTGTGTGTTCTGCATCTTGGGCTTTACTCCCAGAACCCATCATGACAGAATTAAAAGTTTTCCAAGCGCTTTTATGAGTTACTGACATCTTGAATTCAAGAAGGGTATGTGTCACCAGTCTCATCTTTTCTGCAGAAGCCCAGAAGAACCTGACCAGACCATACAGCTTCCAGTTTACATCCACTATCTTGTTTTTTTAATAAACCTCTTAACCTACAACCTGCCTCTGTAGTTGCTCTCGTCCAGAGTCACCTTCAGTTATGACAGTATGGTCATGTTACCCCGACTTCCTGAATTAGAAATTTCTCCTCATTCCAGTCAAAATTTGTTACTCAGAGATTAAAAATGCGACCTTACACGTACAAATGAAACGGACCATTTCCATCACACAGTTTATGTCATGAAAGTTGAAGATAAAAGCAGCTATACAAGTAAAAAAAAACCTAAAGGGTAGAAGTCGGGAAACAGATATGATAAGAAGAAAAGACAGAATAACATTGATGCAAATCGAAAAGCACATTTCGCTCCAGTCAGAAAGCAAAGCAGCATGCTCTGCTTGCCTTTATGGGACACAATCAGCTCCAAACATGCAAGAAAATGGATGGGTCAATATCTAGAAAAGTTTGTTCTTCTAAAGGTCAAAGCTAAATCCGTTAATAGATCACATCAATCGGCTTTCCTGACTCCCCCTTCATTTCCTGTGTCTGTCTTTATAGAGCTATTAAATCTGTTATTCTAACATTTGAAACAGACAAGAAAGCCAGACTGATAAGAAGCCTGGGAGGGATGGATAGACAGTTTATCCCTGTGGGATTTTAAGACGTCTTTCCTAAACACCAAGTACAAAGAAAGCTGCCCTTTGGACCGAGACTGGGTATAAGATACTTTGCTTTCTGCAGCAATAAAGCTATTAGATGAATATAGTATAAATCGTTACGTATTATATACAATGATGTATTGTGTTGAAAATGTGCAGATATATGAAGATAACTTTAGTTAAAAGTTTTATGAGTACTTTGTAGTTCTAAACTTGAGTGAGACAGATAACATCCCCCTAGTGCAAGTATTATTACAAACTAGAAGTTCAAATGTATGTTAGTTTTCTTGTTAAATTTAAATCTTGTGGTAGAAAAAAACATATTTATTTTATTTTTGGGCTTCTTTTCTAAGGTTTATACTCTAAGGTTCCATTTACAGCTAACAGCTTAGATGCAGTTCAAATGTAATGCTAGAATTAAGATGCAAAGGAGTAGACCTAAATGCAATCACAAGTACTGTAAATATTTTAACCACATAGACTTAAAAATAACTGACTGGATTATTAGAATGAGCCAAGGCTAATTCAAAACAAATGTTGAAACTTGCATTTATTTATTTTTCATTTTTTTAAATTTGCATCAAACTTGCATTTGAAATTCATTGTTTTGATTTGATGACAAATTGGATGAATTTAGGAAATGGATGATTCATAAAATCTTTCTTAAACACATTTTCTGTAGTTGTAAATTGATGCGTCTTGTTGGTTCATTTAATTCTGAAGGAGTGAAGTTTTTATAAGAACAGCAATAAAATCTCTGTGGACAAATTGCTTAAATTATTTAAAGCTTTTAATAAGGAGGCTTTTTTGCTATCACAGTTTGTTTTGTATAAAAACCATTCAGCTTTAAAGCTGGCATTAAAAAAAATAAAATTTTCAGAAAACCTAAAACAGGCATATTTACAACTATCTCACCTTTCTTTATCTTTTCTGTAGCTGTCATTTTTCTGTACCTACAGTTGGGCCCAGAGTTATTCATATCCATTCCAGATAAACAATTACATTAACATTTTAATTTTTTCAACATATTCATTCAGTTTCAAAAGTAATAGTATTGTTTTGCAGATGCCAAGCTAGAGACTTTATTTGATTCATAGCTGTAAAGAGAGCTAAAGTTTAGGATGGTGGAAAAGAGGCTTTTTCTATCCCTCAGACTTGGAGCTCATCACTACAGATGACTCATCATAATGTTTATGGCAACCTGCCAAACGCCTGTCAGCACTTATAAGGAGGGCATGATTGCTTTAAAGCTAATAGACATTTACCACTGAATATATTAGAAGGGTATAAAAGTTCAACAATCCGTTTCAACAATATAGGGAAAAAAAAGAGATAATTTCTTTAAAACTGGCCCCACTTTTACATATTTTTTTATTTTTTTTTATTTTTTAGATATGTTGTTAGTGTTTTTAATCAAAATGAAGGTGAATGAAAATATTTAACATCTAAATCTGTCAGAGGGATTAGCAATATTTAGTCTACTTCTATATAGATACCTGGATTTATATTTGGATTTGATTTATATTTTAAAATGAACTTTTGCATAGTTATTACAGTTGGAACCCCTTAAGATGCCAAAATCCGTAGAGTTTCCTTAGTTTTTTTTTTTTTTTGTTTTTTTGAACAGCAATACAACAAAGATTTACATTGAGATGTTAAGACGTTTTAGTAGCGCTAAAAAAGGAGTAGGTAGAAGTTCAAGAACTTTGAAGAACCTATAATCAATAATAATATTCATGTTAGGTATCATATAAGGTCTTATGCTAAAAGGAGGCATTACAAATCAAAACACAGTTAAACAAATACAGAAAGTCTTATTTTGAAAGCAGTAGTACAGGAAAAAGAAGATATCTAGTGGTACATATCGAAAATGTTGCAAATTATCACGTTGAATTTTTGGGTCACATGCATAGTTCTACAGAGAGTCACAATATTTAAGGTTTAGCTCTAAAATAAATGCTAGTTGGGAGAGAGTTAGCATGTGTGTTGGTGAAATAAACAGCCTACTGCAGGTAATCCTGCTTTACTAACTCATACTTTATAAGAAAGAAAATGAAAAGACACAAAGCAACCAATAGCTAATTTTCTTTAAAGAGAAGAGCCATTCTTTGAGGCTCTTGGTAGCAGCAGAAATTTGACATGTTTAGTCTAGATAGGACATAAAAAAAAAACACCTTGAGCGAGGATGGAAATTTATTTCATCTGTGGCAAAACAAAGATGATGAGCTGTTAGAAAAATGTTAGGAAAGCCAGCAGCACCCTGAAAAGTAAACGCGAATCCAGAGCGGTACAGCACCCATCATATATATTTCTTTACTATAAAAACCTCAATTATACTATTAAATAAAGGAAATCGGCCTTTTGTTTTCTGCTTTGATGTACTCTGTGCCAAAGCCATCCTCAAACAGGTATAGTCAAAGAACTTTAAGTCAAACCAGAGCAGATTCCATGGTGCACATCTGAATTTGCAACCTATTTAGAATGCCACTGATGCAAATCATTCAAGATGCCATTTTTCTAAGTACAATTTCAGCTGTTGAATTTCCACTGCAGGTAACAATCAGGAATGTGTCGGATATGGAAGACGTAAAAAAATCAAGTTTCTCATTCTGGGAGTTCATTATATTTAAGAGTGATTAACAATTTGGGGTTTAGAACAAGTAAAATGAATCCTTATGACACGGGCAGCTGTGGAAACTCTACAGAACACTAAAGAGAGGCATTTCTATAACTGAAATGTGCTTTGCGGTCATAGCAGCGCTTGGTTAACAGCATTACTCGGCATATCACTTTTATCTAGTAAGCTTCTCCAGTTTCATGATTCCACTTCATCGGAGTGGCTACTCTGCATATGCTGGGTTTGCACTTGCTGTACATTGTGCATCAGTTCATTGCTCTCTAAAGGGTAAGACTTTGCTAAGCTGTCTGCTCCCCAAAGCTAGCTCTGTGCACTACTCACACTCTCAGCCTGAATGATCAATCTGCATCTCTGGAAGTAAAAAGAGAAGGGGTTGGGCAAAAGAACCGTCAATAACAAAAGAACCGCAGTTCACTGGTTCGATGCAAGTGTCTGTGAATGTTTTGGCGTTTTTTTTGTTAAGAAGGAAAATGAGCAAACACCATAAACTACAGCAGGAGAGAAAAAGGGTGGAATACATTAATTCTTCATGCAAGACAGTTAGAAAGTCTTTAGGAAACAACAACATGCACTGTTAGACCCCCCAAAAAGGTACATGTGAAACATTTCTGCTCTTGCTTCTTGTAAAACAAACATTAAAGGCAGATAAAAGGTTTTAATCTTACCTGAGTGAGCTCAGGTATGTCGTTTTTGTCTATTCCCACTTGCTATAAAAGAAAAACACGTTAAAAGGTGGTTCCTCGAGTGGATAGCTAGGAGGCTAAAGAAGGCGGTTTAAAGGATACCTCTGCGATTTTGAAGAACTCGGAAACCCGGGTCATTCGTGTCAGGAATCTCTTGTAGATCTCCAGCCCATCTTTACACTGGCTTCTCTTCATCTGGAAAAATTTCTCTGGACCAAGGATGTGGAAAATATATGTTTAGGATAGTGACGAGGTAAAAAGAGACCTTGCAACAGTCAAAAATGCTTCTTTGACTGATTTAATGGAAACAAAGGGTAGTCATACTTCGGCTTAACTAAAGTAAATAAGTAACACACTATAATGCATTAAAAAAAGAAATGTATTTCTTCCCATGTTTTGTAGGGGGAACTGATTATTTCAGGCAGATAAAATATCTATTCTCTCCTCTCCTCCTCGCATATCTTTGGGAAAGAAAGAGCTACTGTTTCCAAATTCTCAAAAATTGTTATGTGTGATGGGAATTAGTATACGGTACTAGAAATTTCCTTTATCCAGTAATCTTTCACTTCACTTCACTTTCACTTAATTTTTTTTGCAAATAATCCAACATTAAACAACAAAACAACAATATCAAAACAAAACCAACAATTTACAACAACAAAAAAAAGGAATAGGCTGAAGCAAAGCTTATTCTTGCCTACCCTGTTTTATACTTAATCATATTTTACATTAGATTTGTAAGAAATCTTTTGATTTTAGAAGTGGAAACAAATTTAACTATGTTGATGTTACGGAACCTGACTTAGTTTGCCAGATGAAAATGATCAATAAACATTGAACTTTATATCAATAATGATTTGAACATTTGAATGAAGCAAGTGTTTGAAACCCTAAGAATCCCTTTAGGCTAAATTTATCCTATGATGGAAAGAAATCTGCTAAGGGAAGTACTTCCTCACCAAGCAGATTGATGATGCCGTCATTGTAGCAGGCGTACAGCTTGATTAGGTCTTTGAAGAGAAGGAGGAAGCAGGAATTGATCACTCCATTGTTCAGATCTTTTGGCTGAACCTGAGAAAAAGGAAGTAAATGAGTGTTTCAATTTAGAACCAAAGTTATTTAGTCGAACAAAAACCTCTTAACTCTGTATCTGTTAGCTGAAACGTGTGAGGTTTGGTAAAGGTGGGCTCTGATTTTTATAGGGGGCCCAATGAAATATGTCAATGCAAATGGTAATAAAATGGATATTTACTGGTTCCAGGCTATAATGTCTAAATATTGTGAAATACCAATGTAGCATTATATGTTTCACTGAAACATGGCTGCGGGGTCATATCCCTGACTCCAGCATCTCTCCCAGGCTTTTTGGACCAATTGATCAACAATAGATTTAAATAAGACTGGAAAACTCAAGCTGGGTGGGTTGGCAGTGATTGTGAACAACAGATGGTGTCATTCAGGACATGTTGCTGTGAAGATTTATCTCTGCAGTTTGTATTTGTGATATTGTTTACCTATTAAGTTTACAAGTGTTCTTTTGACAACCCTTTACAGTAGCAGCCATTCAAAAGGGCCCTTCCCAGCTGAATGGAAGCCCGCTTCCCTCCAACTCCCAGCAAAATCCCCTCCAACTTCCAGCCACTGGAGTTAAACCATCATGTGTATTTTTTTACTCCGTCTCCACCCTTTCACTGAATTACAGGGTCTGACTAGGAGATAACAATTCTCTTTAGATCTTAATGTCCTCAAATCATGACAGAAATAATATTTTAGTACAAATATTGATGTTTAAAAAGGAATTGCAGGGGACCAGCTAAGGACCAGCCAAGGGCCCATCAAGGAAAGTGGGGGAAATTTTGAATGGCTACTACTGTAATCACCAGATACTTTTTTCAAATCTTATTAAAAATCTAGCAAGAGGCTTCTAGAATGAGTTCCTACTGTTTTCTATCACCGCTAGAGCTTTTAAATTGAACTGTATCTCAGAGGGATCTACCTCTGCTCTCTGTTCCTCTTGATGAGGCTGCTGATGCTTGAACCTCAATCTCATTTAGTGCAGATTAAATTAAGGCAACTCCTTTGTCAGCTTTCAGAGTTTACTTGTACGCTCAGCCTGGGTTCTGCTGATTTCATTAGTTTCACTAGGTACCCCCTCTTTCTGCTCACTGCATGCTCTGTGATGGGTCTTGTACCTTGTTGTAGGTTTGTTACTATAACGCTGTTACGTTTGTCTGACTGATATTCTAAAGAATTTCTCTGTAGATAAAATAACTAATATAATGTTATTCAACTACTCAGGGGCAGACTGGACATCGGGGGATTGGAGATTTGCTAAAAGAGAATTAAGTAATTCCATTGATTTGTTTTTCTCAAGTTTCTGCTTTGCTCTCTTTCTGTTTCTGAGGCTCACAACAGGTAGAACTGCCGCCCAATTTACCTTGGAGAAGAAGAGAAGGTGAAAAGGAAAGGAGAAGACAAGGAGAAGATAAAAGAATAGAGAAAACTAGATGCAAAATGTTGTGAAAATAATGTCTGTCAGTAACAGAGACAAACATGAGTTACTTTCCCCATCCATCACTGCCGTACTGATTAAGTGAACAGTAATGACTTCTGAACCAGACATTGTCGCCCACCATCAAATGTCACCCACCTCAAAATCCAAAAGTGAGTCAATATTGCTCTGCAGGATTGGCATTCCTTTCAAAAGCTTCTCCACCGACATAGTCCTCATCGCTCCATCCGCTCTGAAATTCGGTGAAACAGAGAAACAGAGCACAGGAAAATTGCTTAACGACTCCATCTAGCATTTAGATTTGACAAAAAGAAACGCATTAACTTTTCTGAGGCGAGTGGGGACGAAATGTTCAGAAAAACTTTGACAATAAAGCTTATTGCACACCTTTGTATCTCATTTCTTTTTAGTTCATTTTCATACTCGGCTCTTTTCATTGACAGCATTTGTGGCCATAGAAACCTTGTGTCTGCCAGCTGAATTATGCTGTAATCTCTCCAAGCGTTAGTTATAAAAACAGCTGCATTTAAGCCTTTATTCTGGATCAAATCTAAGCACTATTCTTTCAACCATAGTCAAATCACAGACACAGCATGATAGGTTAGAATCAAAAGGAGGTGAGAGAATTTTAAACTCTCAATTAGACCAATAATGTTTGTCTACAAATGGAATCATAGCAGTGATGAAAATAAAACAGAGATAGAAGCATTCATACCCTTTCTTAACACGTCCAAAGTCGAAAGACATCTGTCTGTAGGCGAAGGCCTTCTCGTTGAGATAGCGGCTGTAACGTCTGATGAACGTGGACATGTCGTAGCCTGAGGGGAACACATTCATAATATAATATCAGCAGTAGTCACAGCTGGATTTTTTAATTCTGATGCACATGTGAGACAAAGGACAAAGGTCCATGTTTAAGGACCTTTGTCCTGTTTATGTTAAATTAAGAGCGGATGAGTTGTTGCTGCACACTATTATCAGTGCCATCTGGTCATTCAGTCTTCTGTGTCTTCTTCTCTTGTGAGCAACATAGCATTGTGTTCAGGGACAGGCCAGTTTGCATCAATACAGAGTCTTTGGGAATTTCCCCCATTTTCCATTCCGAAAAATTCAAATGAAACTTTTTTATATGTATGGAAATTGAAAAACATATTTTTTCTACATAATAATAACTATAAAATGAAATGGCCTCCAGTTGTTTATACTGTATCCTGGACAGCTTGGGTGCATTGGGTAGCCTTCAGCAGTCTGGATTAAAATCGGTGTCACTATTAAAAATCATGTAATTATTAACCCTATAATACCAAATTTATCGTATTTGATACATACGGTTTCATTAATGGTAAAATCCTACCTGATAACAGCCAGTAGATAAATAATCTTGACTTATCGCATAGTAATAAATTATTAATATCAAAAATGTATTTCTGTTTTTTCTTTTTACATATTTTGCTAAAAGGGCAAATAAGGAATTCAAACCAAAAAAACGTAATTTTCTGTTTTGGTTTATTCTTGGATCGGGCTTTAAAGGGTTAAGTAAACTAAAAAGGTTAATTCTGATATACTTGAACTTTTAGAAACTATAAGTAGACTTGGAAGTTTATAACCATAAGATCCCCTTAAGCATACCTCAAAGTAAACGTAAAATCTCCCAATTTAGTCCCAAGAAATATATTTGATTTACACGTCTATTATACATTATAAACTTGGGATATATACTTTTTGTGTTCTTATAGCCTGTACCTAGTTTTAGTAAGGGATAAAAACAGCTAACCACAGCATAGAGATTAAAATATAACAAGCTTGTATCAATAAGCTTAGAAAGAAGCATTTTAAACGTGTATCACAACCAGGGGAGGACAATAATCTACGTCCAGAAAGTAACAAGTTGGTACAGTGATTAGCTTCACAGAGGCTAATATCCTGTTTAAGTAAACAACGTGATTTAGGAAAAGGTCGACACAAACCCGGCATTTTAGTCTACTGAACCTTTGGACTCAGTTTATTGTACTGCTAAACAAATCAAATTTATTCTATTTATTTTGTACAATAACAACTCAGCTTGTTATTGTTTTGGTATTTTCTAAACTGTGGCTATGAAAATAAGAAGCTTTAACTCTATAATAGAAATTTAAACCTTTAAAAATATGTTTTATTTTTACAACACATACTTTATTTTTTACAAAAGTCAGAACCTGAAGAAACTACTCTTGGTTAAATAATTATCTATATTATTAGAAGCACCTAATCATTAAGCATTAAGCACATGACTAATGCAAATCATTGATGAAGAAAAAAGATTCATTATTTTGACAGCGTTTCACTCTTTTTTCCCCAGCATGAATCATATGAGCATTTCTAACGAAAATAAATTGCATTATAATTATGCATATTTTTCTTGAGATTATCCATGGACTATGATAAATAAAGGAAATATATCACTGCAGTTGGATATGAGATAAATAACCTGGCATCTGCCCTTTTCATTTTGCTGACTATCTGATGGTGATTTATGTTTCAGAGCCTTTAAACACATTCTTGAATATTGTAAGAGCTAAAAAAAAAGGGAAAAAAAGGCTTAAAAAGTTTGTCTCTCAAAACCGTAAAGTCAACCGAGTAAACATCTGTGAACCCAGTGTTTATCTCCATGGTAATGTCCTAATTACCATGGCGATTGGTTCATCTGATGGGAGCAGGGATCACTTGGGGAAGCTTGTGTGTAATTTTGCCACCTTAACTTTCTAAGAGATAACCTGAGAAAATAAAAAAAATTCAAAACAGCACATCTTGAATATTAAAGTTTTCTTTTTGCCAACAAATGTACATATTTATCAATAACCATTCAGACCATTCATATTTTGACTTTTTTGCTTGGTTTGCTCTGTTTGATTCTGCTGCGGTGTAGATGTGAAGAGCTGGACTCCTCTTTGAGAGCTATATATGATGTCGTAATTGTTTCGGAACCGACACCACTCACCGTGGGAACCAGTTTTGTCCAGGAAGTTCATGAGGTTGAACAAGGTGTTTCTAGATCCCAGGAACTGGAGGAATCTCTGCAGAAAAGAACGAAAGCAAAATGTTAAATATTTATCCTCGTGCTGATTAAATGTTCTTTACTTCTTTCATGTCTTTAGAATAACTGATATTTTTCAGTGGAGTCGTTTGGTATGAATATACTACGAGGATTAAAATATTTTTATGCAATTTTTTTCTTGATATAAAAAATGAAGTTAAGCATTAATCTAATTTAGATTATAAGCTGAAACTACATTGCAGTGTGTTAAAGACTTATTTTATAGGGACATAGCTAATCGGCAAATCCCCTCCTTAGATGGGCCTTTAACTGAAGAAAATGTAACAGTAAATGCAATAATAGAAGTAACATTTTACCTGGGAGCAATATTAATCAGATTAAATCGCTAAAATTTAAAAAAAAAATTCCAAGCTTAGAAACTCAAAGACATTTTTTGTTATGTTTTGTTGTATGTTTATGTTTTTGTAATACCTTCTGCTTCTGTCCCTCTCAGACATTAAGCTCTGTTACCCAGCTTAGACGTGTTGGTTGTAATGTACTACAGTACCCTGCCTGTTCTTTGTTTAATTTTTGGCTGAAGGTAAATATGAATGGCTTCAGATATTTGGACAAGACAAACAAAAAAAACCCACAGAAGTCCCAGTTTGTGGAAGGTGAGTCATTGTTCATAACCGCTGTTCTACATGTGATGAGGAGTTACTACATTTTACAAACATCCTTGTGTTATTTTATTTTTCTTTCTGGGGGTGTGTGTGGGGAGGGGTTTATAGAGAATTGAACCAAGAAATTCCAACATCTTCTGCAGGCTCAAAAATGCATGTTGTTTTGAATTATCAACATTCTCCTGTTTCCTGCATGGTATCTATCTGATCATACTTCCAGTCTCTATTCTGCTAATCTGTGTTCATCAACCAACAGACTTAAGAGCTCAAATAAGTAACTGGAAAAGAGATATAGAGAGAATCTAAAGATGCACAACAGCTTAGAACCAGAAGCAGAGGGAGGCAATGCTCACTGACTCCAGCAAACTCACACATTCTGGCCTTACCTCATTGCCATGCACCATGAGGTGGTGTGTGGTGATAAGTGCTTTGAAAACCACCACCCAGCTGGCATTTCCCACCCTCTCCATCAGCACGTCGGCCATCTGGGGGATGTTCACGTTGGAATCCTGGGTGGCCTGGATCAGGTCTGAGGAGCAGAGCGAGAACAAAAAAAGCAGGTCAGGTGACAAACATGGCCAGGGACACGGGCAGTACTGCTGCTGAAGTCGGCAAAACTTTCAGTCAAAAATAATCTAAACAGATTGGTGCATGGAGGAAGACAGATGGGTGGGAAATCAGCAGGACTATGGAGAATAAATATGGGGAATTTAAATATCTGCATCTATAAAATTCTGTGTTTTTCCATCATGTTCACTGCTTGAAGAAGTATGAGTAAAAATGACATTCCACAAATGCAGCTGAGAGATTGCAATTATTATTATTATTACTCACAAAACTACATTAGTGTCAGGAAACAGATGTATTCAAAAGATCGACTTCCTATCTGCAATGGGAATCTAAAGAATGGTTTGTAAGCTGATCCAGCTCGGCTTTCATGAAGCTGCTGTTTTGCGTTCGGCTGACATGTTTTAAGGGGGCTGTTTCACATTATGCTGCTTTTGCTTACTGTGAGTCACACTGGCTGTTTCTTTGTTTGGTTTGTGCAGCAGAGCACTTCAGAGATTCATAGAGAGGAACACAAGAGAAGAGACGAGTGCAATGACATTTAAACCTGAGTGCCACTAAAATAAAGATCAAATAACATATTAAACCAGCAGAACATGATTAGGAAAGTTATATCAAAGGAACCTTTCTGTAGATTCTTCTTCATGAGTAAAAACACTCAAAATATTTTTACACCCTGATCCTTTACTTTTTTGTTTTTTATTTTCTGCAAAAATTTTTCCCAAAAACAACCCTGACAGCTAATTGTGTTTCTTATTATCCCCTTGACAGAATAAGGCTTTTTAAAATGCAAACGATCAGGGACTGTCACACAACACAGAACCGGTACGTTCAAGTGATTTTTGCACAGTGTGATTGGGACCCATCATGAAAACGAACTAGCAATTATCACCCAACCTCACGGAGCATTTCACTCCACTTATCTGAGTTTTATTTCCATGAACCGCTACAGAGTTCAAAACAAACTGTTGTTATTTTTAAGCTTGAAGCTCCCTCCTTACTCTTTTGTATATTTTGTTGTTGTTACAATGATGAAGGAATTCTGCTACCTAAACTCAATAATGTCCCAGACTTCCAGGGACTGAAAGAGGCACAAACTGGGCACTAGTTGGTTAAGCAATATTTTTATACTGAAAGAAAACCTGCATTTTTTGGTTAACTTGTTGTCTTAATAATGGTGCAGTTATTAGAACTGTTGCCAAGCAGCAAGAAATACTAGAAGAAATCAATATCAAGGCAGTGATGTATTTCTTAATGAGCTGTTTTTCCCACCATGTCAGGATGCAGGTATGGCACCTAAGAAACAGAACCAACAATGTTCGGTCTGCCTTTAAGAGTGTCGCTCACAGATTGCTTCTTGAAATTAATACTTTCACTTTCATAGTTATTTGCTAATTGAATGATTGTTGGATGAAAATGATTTGTTCCAAATTTGCTGCAAAATTCAAAGACAAACAGACAGAAGCACAGATTCATTTCCCCACTAAGCAGCACAAGACTGGTGTGCTTTAACTGGACAGGACACCATCGTTGGGATAAATGGTACCAATTTGACATATAGGCAAGGCAAGGCAAATTTATTTGTATAGCACAATTCAGTACAAAGACAATGCAAAGTGCTTTACATGATTAAAATACAGGAAGATAAAACAGAATCAAAGCAAGTAGGAAAAAATAAAAAATGAATCAAATAAAATAAAAAAAATGCAGAAACAAAAAAGAATATTAAAAAACAGTTGGGTTAGCATTTGATCAAAAATTTCTCCTTGGGCAGTTGACAATTCCCCAGAACGTTGCCTTTTGTTCTACTACCATTATCTACAGGTAATTTAACTCTGCCCGATATGCAATTTAACTCTGCCCGATACACACCATTCCTCTGGTGCCAACCTGGATAACTGGGGGGATCCCACTCTAGATTACCGACGTCTCAGTAAAATTAAGTACCTTCTGGTGGCACCTACAACCTTCCTCTCACTCTTAGAGAGACCCTCACGTTCCTATGCGAGGTCTTTTGGTTCACAGGTGGAACAAAACCTGAACTGCCTTTCTGCTCCCCAAAAAGAAAAGTTATTTTTGATTTTGTCTTTAACATTTTAACAATCCTATGGTGCCAACCTGGATAATTGGGGGGGATCCCACTCTAGATTACAGACGTCTCAGTAAAATTAAATGCCTTCTGGTGGCACCTACAACCTTCCTCTCAGTCTTAGAGATATAGCATTAGCAGAGGTGGCTAGAGCAGTCAAAACTGTTACTAGAGTGAAAGCAATACTGCTTCATCATATTCGTATTTAAGTAAAAAAAAAAAAAAGTAGCCATCCCAAAAATGACTCCTGTTAGAGTGAAAAGTATTTGGTAAAAAAAATGCAACTCAAGTACAGATTAACTGAGTAACTTACTACACATAATCATAACAACTGATATAATGTTTTTTAAAATAATGTAAAGTTAAAAGAAAATATAAAGTTAAATAGATTCAAAGAATGAGATACAAAAAAATATATACGTTAATTTCACAATAACACATTTATGTGAAATTAAACTTTTCAATACATTTTCTATGTTATAAAACATACAAAATCATTGGTTGAATTACATTAGAATCAGGCACAATTACAATATATTCAAGTGGGAATGCTTATGCATTCCCACTTATTGTTTTTCACTTTTAATTTTTCTGACTCTAACTAGTCCCGCAGTTTTCAACTGATTTCAACAATTTTGGTATCAAAACGTTCAGCTTGTTCAGGAGAATTCTGCTATGTCTTTTGGTAAAGATATTTTTTGTAGTTTTCGCGATATTCAGCTTTTTCTGCGTTTTTTTTTTGTCCCATTGAAATGCATGTAGAATTCTTAGATTTCAGCATAATTCAGCTAAACCTTCATCATCTTTGACCTTTAACTACTTCAGCATACTTTCAGCTAGAAACACCATTCAACTTTTAAAATGTTTCCGTATCTTTCTGCTATTACCGATTAACTCGGCTTTCTGCTAACTTTTACAGTTTTGCTTCAGTGAAGCTTCAAACTTTAAAAGAAAATTTTAAGATTTTCAGATTTATAATGGAAGTCTATGGACGGAATTCTTCAACTGCTAGAGTGCGTGCTCTAGCTTTTGAGCTGTTCTGGTTTTTCCGAACAAATTCTTCTCACTACCTCATTTTTAACTCAATTGAAATAAATTATACATCAAAACGTAGGGATTTTTGTCAGGATTCAGGAAATGTAACCCTCATCTGTGTGGCATTTACGGTTTTCCGACAGTTTGGCCCAGACCACGAAGAGGTCCACACTTCTCCAATAGAAATCCAATGAGAGCTCTCTGAAAATCCGAACTGAAAATTAAAAAAAACAGACTTTTTTGTATCGCTCCCATTCGGGATCCGTTTGACGTAGCAACACGAGCCTTGTGCAAGTTGTTCCTCAGACCTTCCTAGCACTCACATTGAAGGAAGTGTGTCGATATCTTTTTTCGTTTGGCTAGGAAAAAGGTTTGTTCGGGGGTAACAAATCTGTCCGAACCCCAAAATCAAGATTTTGACAATTATACACTTGTTTACATCGTCACCACGCCTAGACAAAATATTGTAGAAATATGAAAGTTACACCTGTTGTAGTCCAAAGATGGCTGACGCTCACGGTGAAAGAATTTTTTGAATACCTAATACGGTTTTGGCTCACCGCTCGTTTGTTCGGAGGGAAAGTTTTGCTTTTGAGAGTTCTGCTCTACCATTGTGCTGCATGTTATTTAATGAGACCAGCAGGATTTCTCAAACCTTTTTATTCCTCCTTCCCATTAAGGCTGTGAATGAGCTACAGCCATGAACGTTATCCCAATTGGAGACAAAGGATAGCTCTCGCTTAGACTGAAAGAATTTTTTGGATACCATTTACGGTTTGTCTTCAGCACTCGTTTGTTCGGAGCTGCTATTCCCATTCAAAAAAGCCTGAGAGGAAAGGAACGAAAGTGATGCGCGTGTCTCTCTGTCACTGACAGGCTCGTTAACGTCGTCAAGGTAACCGTGCTTCAAAGAGATTTTACCTCCACCACTTTAAACAGCACATTTTAATCTAATGGAGGGAGACAACACTGATTTAACATTAGGAAGTGGATACAATATGACTACTGGCCATGACCCTTCCCTTCACACGCAACCCTGATAGACTTTCAAAATAAGACTCCGGGGACCCTTCAAAATAAAAGCCCCTACATTAAACTCATATTTTTTTCCCAGCATATGGCTCAACATTATGACCCAAACTCAACCACTTTTTTAAAAATGAGACTCTAGGGGGTTTTCAAAACACACCCCATGGAAAATTTCAAAATAAAAGCCTCCCATTGCCACTTTATCTACTGCCCTAATAACAAGGGAAAAGAGTCATTTAACGATTGGAAAGTCATCAAGTATCACTGCTGGGTCTGACCCTTTTCTCAACACACACCCCTGCTAGACTTTCAAAATAAGACTTCAGTTACCCTACAAAATAAAAGCCTCTATATTATACTCGTGTATTAATTGATGCAAATGGCTCAGCATTATGACCCAAACTCCACCAGCTTGTTACTATTAGACTCTAGAAGCCTTTTCAAAACATACCCAGGAGCAAATTTCACAATAAAAGTCTCCCATTTACGCTCTAATACAGCATCTATTCACCCAATAACATGGAAAACCAGTGATTTCATATTTGGAAATGGATTCTATATCACTGCTGGGCATGACCCTTCCCTTGACACACATCCATGATAGACTTTCAAAATAAGACTAAAGGGACTCTACAAAATAATAGCCTCTTCCTTACGCACACTCATTCATTGTGCCGTATGGCTTGTAGCTATGACCAAAAGTCAACCAATTTCTTCAAATTACACTACCAAGACCTGTTGACCACACACCTCAGTGCATATTTCTTAATCAGGTTCTAAGATTTACACTGTAATAAAGCATCTGCTAA